TTTTTTTTTTTTTGCTATTTTTTTATTTGTTTGCTTTCTTTTCTCTAAAACTAAAATATTATTGTTTTTCTTAACTACAAAATACAAAACGTTATCTTTAAAATTTAACTATATGTTTCAATTTTAAATTTTCTAATAGCTTCGTCGTTATAATTATGTTGGATTTGTATTTTAGTCTTTAAAGAAAGTTAATAATTGTAGTAATGTGTATATATTGTATTTTATAATTATTTTTATATTTAAATTGTGTGGCGCCATTTACCTTTATTTTTTAAAAGTATTAAAATTTTGATTTTTCAATAGTATAATTTTATTTGTTGCCTCTTATTTAATATTTAATTATAATTTTGACTATCTAATAAATTATTTGACTATTTGAATTTTTAGTTACATTATTAGATTTAATTACTTTTAAATTTATGAAAATAATTTTAATAATAACATTAATTATTTAAAATTTATATCATATTCAGATATTTTTCATATTGTCTTATTTTCATTTTTATTCTTAAAAAAACTAATGTTAACAAATAATAATATATTTTATTTGAAAAACTAATCATTAATACTATTTCAAGTTTATAGGTATATGCTATTACTTATTATATTGAATTGTTAGCGATTATATTAAAATATTAAAAAYATGTGTAAATACAAGTGATACTAACTAGTATATATAAAAGTTAATAGCTTTCATAAAATAAGAAATCATTATTATTTGGGCTATGTCTCCCATATAACTATTTGTTTGAATGTTAGAAAAATAACAGAAGAAGAGCTGTCCTAATMAAAAGGAAATAATCCAAACCTTTGATCAAGGTAACTAAACTAAAATAAAAGATCATTATAGTTGCTTTTTTTTAATATTTGGTAAATGATAACTTTCTCGTTATCTTCGTTAAATATTTCACAACCCATTATTTTTTAAAATATTTTGTTTTTTTCATGTATTTTCCTATTTTAATTGTGGCATAAGTTTTTAATTAAAATTAAACAGAATAATGGAGTTGGTAACATTAAACAGACAATAATAGTAATTAGTGGGAAATGATGTAACCCACTTTGGGGACTGGAGTTGGGGCATGGACAAATTAGGGGCTGGCAAAGTGGAGGGCATGATGGTCCAATGGGTCATTCGCCGCCATCTTTTCATGGGCCCTGCCCCACTCACCGCCCACCTGGGCCCATGGCGACGCCTCGTGCCACTCCCAACACCTATATAATGCACCTTCTGTCTTTAATTTTTAAGCTCTTTTTAGATTAAAATATTATCTTAATCTATGTATTTTTTTCAACTATAATTTATTTAAGTCCATGTATTTTTAGCTATGGTTTATTTTAGTCTCTATATTTTTAATAGATTCATTTTAGTTATTGTAATTTTAATAAGTGATCMTTTTGTCCATATTTACAAAAATCTTATCACAATGTCTACCCATAATGAAAACCATTTAATTTAAAGGTGTGGCTACATTTTAGTAAATATATGAGTTCAATGTATGTGAAATAATTATAGAAAACATGAGATTAAAAATAAAATGATTACTTTTGAAAAGTACATAGATGATTGACTAAAATTAACAAAAATATAAAATACAATAACTAAATGAATATTTTAAAAGTACAAAGATTAAAATGTATTGAATTTGAAATGACAGGAACAAAAATGGTATTTTAATGTATATTAGGCCATTAAATTTTAAATTTTATGTATGATAAGTATCTAGTTGACTTGGTTCAAATATTTGAACCTACTCCAAGTGAACGTGACATTGGAATAATATAGTGATGCATCATATTTGAATAAAGGTGTTGATAGCCATATGAATCAACTATGCTATCATAAATCTTAAAAAAAAAAAAAACCATGCTATCATAAACCTTTTAAAATCCTCTTTCTACTTAGTAGTAAGTAAAAGGTAGCTATCACATTAATGAAATCCAGTGAATAATTGACATAAAACCAATTACTTTACTAAATAGAAACATAATTTGTCAAAGTAGGTATACCTCAACGATAATTAATATATATCTCAAATCAAGAGGGCGTGATTTCAATTTCTCATTCCCACATATTTTTTAAGTTTATAATACAGTCTTATTTTTTAAGTTTAAATCACTATATAAAATGAGGCTAGCTCAATAAAAGTGAGAATAAGAGACTTACCCTTTGATTGTATAAAATATAGCCACATAGTCAATTGTAATTAAAATTCCGTTTCAAATTGAGACTCCTCCCTTTGATCAAGATTAATTAGCTGCAAAAATCTTTAGCTTTGTCCATAAAACCGCAAAGGCAAGCATATGATTAGCCATATTCTTCCTCCAACTTAATATATTTTGAATTAATTAAATAAAATAACTTGGAATAGGAATATCAATATCCATATTGAAAGAGAAAAAAAAAAGAAAAAATTTATAGTGTAATCGAATTTTTAAAATCAGTTGAGTTTGAATCCTAGGTTTAAATTGACGGTTTATTATAATGGTCTATCGGTAATCATATTGTTGTGGGACTTCAGTAACAATTTCAATTATAGTCAATCTGAATGCAATGATTTTGTTCTCTTTTCATGTAAACTACGTGTTCTTCAAATTTCTCTTTCACTATTAAAATATATATATATATATTTATCCATATAAAAAATGATGGCTGAGGTTTATTAAATTGAAGAGCAGACCATTAATGGAAGTGGACAGGCCAGTTTGATTGCCTTCGGAGGCAATTTCATCGTCTTTTAATCTTTAACACAATAACAACTGAACAGAACAGAGAATAGCCTGATATTGCCAACCACCGCTTTCTCTCCACGTCTTCTCTCCAAATTTCCCAAGCTGTAATTATTTTAATTTCAAAACTATATAACCTCGTATTTAGCAGAAAATTCCACCGACACCACCATGTTCTTCGGTTAAAAAAGGGGCCAAATGATTTAACGTGAGAATGAAGAAAAACGGGGAGCTTCAAATCAAGAAGATTCATAATCTTAGTTCCCAGGTCACTTTCTCCAAAACAACCAGTACAACGTTTTTCCGTTTCTTCAACTTTAAACTTTCTCTTCAATTCATATAAAATAACAGACAGATCTGATCTATCCATAACGAAAAGACGTTTTATTTTTTTAATTATATTTTGTATGTCCAAGAATTGAAGGTTTGCTAGAACGACTCGTCGATCTTTGTGTAAATGAGCGAGAAAGGTAAGGGGATTTTTGCCTTTTCTCTGTGTGTGGGTGTGGACTAATCATAGTCTTCAACTTTTCGTAATATATTTTTAGCTTTGTACATATATAATCAATATATTTATATTACGGACGGATCACATATTTACTCATTAACATTTGATTGAAAATGAATCAACACGTTTTATCAAGCAGTTTCATGGAATGGCCATCAAAAGGCTGAGGCAAGAACAGAATCAATCAACCACAACAAACAGACGTCCAGGTTCTAAATTTTGTTAATCAATCTCTTCTTATTCATCATCTATCCATTTTAATTGTCTAGTACTTTCTAACGGACAGATAACAACAACAATTAATGTGTTCTGTTTTTTTAGTACAACATAGATTCGAAGTCTCAATCTTAATTAGATACATGTACCTTATGACTATCGTCAGTGAAATACCTTGCATTGTTTTCTTTTGTGTTCAATCTATTATAAGTAAATGATATATATTTTCTTTTTTGCAAGATATTTTATTTATTCTATAAGAAAATGATAATTCTATTAATTAATAATTATTTAAATGGGTTCATGTGAAGTGAAGCAGCGCTGGTCGCAATGGGCATCGCAAAAAGGTACACAATACACATGAAATCCACTTTCGGCGGTGAGATTGGTTGCTCTGTTTGCTTTACGATTTTTAAGGGATTTTTTTTATATAAGCAAAATTGAACGCGACGACAGAATATTCGACATGAAATTCTCAGCTTCGGGATCTAAGGAAACAGCACAGGTAACGTGTAAAGCAACGATTGTACTTCAATATTTGCTGTTCCGTCTGAAGAAAAATTTGGAAAGAGAGTATTGATGGTAAATTTTTGTTCCGGATAATTCAATTAGGGCATTTGAAGTCGATTTTTCGGAGATCACATCGTGGTGCGAGGCGGAAACTGTGGTGAAAATCGTCGAGGAAAGTGCTTGCGCGCAAGGTCAGTGTGCTGTTTCCGATCGATCGATTATTCGATTCTACTGCTATTTTGATTTGTGAACCGATGATTCTCTGAGGCCGAGTTTTAGAGATTGATAGATAAATTTGCAGCAGCGGTGCAATTCCTCTGAAACACGCGTACGTAACCCTAACCTTCAACTTATTCCACACTTCTTTTCAGTATTTCAATCGGGAAGAGATATGGAAACAATCGGCGCGATTCTATGATGCAGAAGGTTTAATCAGCAAAATTGCCTCTGCCTCTGCCTCCTCCGACGAATTCGGAACATTCAGGAGCGACGTTTCTCCCCTAATTCTCGCAGATTGAAGCCGTTTCCAGCGCTTTTGGCGAAAACTGTGTCCTCGGGTACGTGTATCGAACTTGGAATCGAAATGGATCGTGTTCTCTGTTAACTTCGTTCTTTCCTCCTTCTCGTTGAGAGATTAGATCGGATCACCCGCGACGTGAGGATGGCACCACAACGCCGTCGTCTTCCACTCTTCTTCCCGAAGGAAATGCGATCATTGAAAATTGCATCGACATTTTCCAGTGGAGCGATTCCTAGAAATCTCGTCGATTGTTCCCGACGTAGATAACAGCGGCCCTGGAATCGGCCAACCCTTGGACTTTGCCGGGTAATAAAATCGATTATATAATTTTAAATAGTTGTAAAAAAAGGGGGGGGGAAAAAAAAAAAAAAAACTGCTCAAGGCCATTTATCCATTAGCCATTACGGATTTTAAGTTTTCACCAACAAATGGCTTACCAGTTACCGTTCGAAAAGAGTTCACCGCCGTCTCATTAGGCTGAAATTTGGGGCAGTGGCTAGTGCCCGCTCTCTTTTTAGCTTTAGACTGTGTTTTTGGGATACATGTAACATTTGTCGTTGCTGAAAGTGGCTAAACTGTAGTAGCTAAAAAGTGGTGTCCCATTCATATTTGACTTCCTGTCAAAAAACGCGTGGAAATCTAACTCTCCTAAAGTACATAAAAATTTTAAATAAATATAGAATCAATATTGTCTAATTACAATGATGYGGAGAAGCTTTTGCTATTTTGGGCCTGCATGGTCAAGATAATACTCATCTTCTTCACACATTTCTTAGATTTAATACTACCTCTTAGTTATCCATGTTTGGCAGTGTTTGTGAATTTATAACAACTTCTGCATAAAGTTCTAGCTTTACTAATTTTAGATATGAGGAACATCAATTACGACTTTGTACCACTATTGGAATCAATATTTTTGCTTATAATAACCTAAAGTTTACTTTCAATTAACCAGTTCAAGTTGTTAATGAGGACGAGAAACTATAAAGCATAAATTGATACCAACAAAAGATAGTTTTAATATTGTTATTTTTTTTTCAATTTTCAATTGTACATTTTTCTAATTGGATTTTGGGCATTTCAACTCTTTAAGTTTGGGTATTGGTTTTGTTTAGGGTTTAAAATTGGACTTTGGGTGCAGAGAATCAATAATGATAAATTTATGGGTAAATTTGTAACTTTATTTGAAACAAATTACCTAATTATTTAGTTTGATAGATTAGATTTCAATTCAGATTGACTCAATATTTAATAAATAGTTATTATTTTTTTCCCCTAAGAAATATAATAATTACATTTCGTACACGATGGGCGGGGGAGTGGGCGAATTATTTGGATCCCCCGAAACTGAGAAAACGCTGGCGTTTCACTTTAAAACCCGGGAAGTACCAAAATGGGGAAAGTCTGAAAATTTTCAAAAATTGAGCCTAAAATCTGAAAGGAGGTTCCGAATGGAAGAGCGCGCGACCTTAATGTTTCTGCAGATTTACTTTATTTCGTTTCGTTGTTTTGAAAACCAAAACTGGCGCTTTTCATTTGGCCAAAATCTATTCCCAATTTCTTCCCAAGTACATTTTCTACCCGCGCCCATAGCTCACTTAGACGAACGTTGCCCCTCTCCTTCTCAATTTCTTTTTCCAGCCCTTTTCAGATCCGTGGTAGACTGAAACTATGGCGGATAAGGAGAATATATTTCGAGTCACTCGGGGTTCCAAGAGGAGAGCGGCGGAGGCTGCAACTCCCGACGACCGCTCAGCTAACAAGAGGAGAGTCGTGCTCGGAGAGCTCCCAATTTTACAGAATGCTAGTGCTTCGCTCGATCGCAAGTCCAAGTCGAAAACGAGCAGACAGCGACGGAGGGTGAAATCAAGGGATACACCAGGGACGAGTGCTGCAGCTGAAATCAACACGCTTCCCGAAGGTGACGTCAAGTTAGCAGACGATGGGGATTCCGACGACCCTCAAATGTGCAGGGTTTACGCCTCTGATATTTATGAGTATCTTCGCGCAATGGAGGTGTGAGCTTTTTCGCCCTAATTAATACTCCCGCTTGTTTAATGAGATTTGTAGAAGCTAATTCTATATAATTGTAGCATCCCTGGCGCTGCTATTGTTGCGAATATTCACGGTGACGCTGGTCCAGTTAAATTGCTTCTAGTTTAAAATTAAGATTAAGATTAGACTTATACAAGGAGATTACTATAGGAATGGAGTATACTGGTCACCAACAATTTAATACTGATGCAAGAAGTTTGGTTACCCTCTTTCTGTGTGTATGTTGGTGGGTGCGGGTGTGGGGGGGCGGCATCGAAATCTTTATTAGGTCAATTTATGATACTTGATCCAGACCTTAATTTTAATCAGATTAGTCTGATTTCAATGGTGTTCTGATTTCCTGGGGGACATCAGGTCAATTTATGGTTCATGATCTTTATTTCAGATCTTAGTTTCAATCTGATTAGTTGTATTTCACTGGTGTCCTGACTTCCGATATTAATATTGAATAGGGGTTTCTGCTTTCCTTAATTTTTCCCTATACTGATTCATATTTTAACATTCAGACTGATCCAAGAAGAAGACCCTTACCGGATTACATTGGAAGGGTACAGAAGGATATAAGTCCCAATATGAGGGGAATTTTGGTGGATTGGTTGGTTGAAGTTGCAGAAGAATACAAACTTATTTCAGACACTCTTTATCTCTCCATTTCATATGTTGACAGATACTTATCTCTAAACGCCATCAGCAGGCAAAAACTCCAATTGCTAGGTGTCTCTGCCATGCTTATTGCCTCGTAAGCTTGTCAATACCCCCACCGTTCTGTTGCTTCCTGGATCATTCTTGTTTCATATAAAATCCCCATTAACATTGTTTTTTTGTTTGTTTGTGTGTGTAGAAAGTACGAAGAAATCAGTCCTCCACATGTCGAAGAATTTGTTTATATCACAGATAATACCTACAACAGAGAAGAGGTAATTCTCTACTAATCTATAGTTTAATTTTCTGTCAACCCTTTGGAAGGTTTCATCATAATCAGAAATGGTTGGATCATAGTGTTCTGCATGTTTTTTGATTCTGAAGGTGGTTGAGATGGAGGCTGAAATATTGAAATCACTGGAATTCGAACTTGGCAATCCCACAATAAAGACATTCTTAAGGTTAGTGCAGTGGTCTATCTTTTACTGCCTGTCATTATAAAAAATCTGCAGCATTCGTGTGGTTTCATAACTTATGGAGTATTGTTCTGATGTGCAGGAGATTTACCATGATTGCTCAAGAGACTTATGAAGTAAGTATCTTAATTCTCTGTTGATTGTAAGGTTGTCTAACATGAATTTCAGTTGCTCATCTCTTATTCCTTTTTGCAGTATAATACTTTGCAATTTGAATTCTTGGGCTATTATCTTGCTGAGTTAAGCCTGATAGACTACAATTGTGTCAAATTCTTACCGTCTCTCACCGCTGCATCTGTTATCTTTCTAGCACGATTTATGATCCAACCGAAGAGGCATCCTTGGGTAAGATCTTTGGACAGGGCTGGTATGTATCATATTAATTTTGGTAGGGATTGAGCATGTGTAACACATGTATATCTTGCAGACTTCAAGGTTAGAGCACTGTACTGGATATAAGCCAGCTGATATGAAGGATTGCGTTCTTCTTATACATGATTTATATCTCAGCAGAAGAGGAGGTGCTTTGGCAGCTATAAGGGAGAAATACAAACAACACAAGGTATTTTCATGGTTAAACGTCCCCTTTTTTGCTGGATTCAAAGGTTCCTGTTATGTTAAGAAGTTAAAAAATTTAGCTTCTGAGAGGTCTTGGAATTAAGTACTGTTATTTAATTTTATTTCATCCATCCCTGTTTTGTTGCAGTACAAGTTTGTGTCTGTCATGCCTTCTCCTCCAGAGATTCCTGTTCCATATTTTGAAGATGTTAGAATATGACTGTACAAGATGACAATAGTAGTTAGGAACTTACGATATGGGAGTGAATAGAAATTTATATTAGATAGAATATGAATTCCAGAGGCATGGTTCGGTTTCGATCTACACAAGCTCTACAAGGCAATTAGCTGATCAGCGGGTGTGCGCTTGGAATGGAACATTTTTGTGCACTGGAAGGCAAGCCAAAGCATGAAGGCAAAGCTGGCATATTTTCCCTTCAACATTCATTGCAATTTCTTCTTCCCTTGTAAAGATTTCTTTTGGAAAACAGATAACCCAATGTTGCTCACYTATTAGATTTTAGAATGTGTGTAGTCAAGTACTATGAACTGTACAAAATTCAGCAATGCACATCATGCATTGGGCCGGAAGCCCACTTGAAGCATAAAGTTGTCAAAAGTTTCTTTTTTCAAACTTCGAGTTCGCATTGTACACGAACCACATGTCTAATAATTGCAAGAACTGGAAAAGGGTCATTGAAAAACATCAAATATACCCTATTGTCGTGGAGCTTCCCTGCATTGTAAAAAGTTCTCTGAAGGGCAAATGGGCTGTTTTCCAAATTCTCTTGCTCCAACTCGAAGAGGGAAAAGACAGAAAAGAGGGAAGATCAATATGCTACAAAATGCTTTTTTACGTAGCCTTAAAAGTGACCCTCTGGCTGCAGAGGTTGAAGGGACTGAAAGCTAGAAAGAAAGGCAAAATGGAAGAAAGAATATTTAAAAGGGCTTCTGCTGAAAAGGAAAAGTGGCCTCGTCTCGTCTGTTGTGTTGCCTGTTTTGCAGGTTGTCTACTCGATTGCATTTTACTCTTACACTTTCCCTTTATCCTTCTTCTACACCGCCCTGCCATACATACAAAGCCATCTCACTTTTTCCCTCCATTCGGACACCTTTCTCTCCAAACTTTCCCTCAGTCTCTCCATGGAAGCTCGGCTGCTTCTGTTAATGGCGGTTTTCACTCTTCTGGTCTCCGGGGAAAACCAACAGACAATGGGGGTCGTCGTCGATATGCAAGGTCGCCACCGGAAGCAGCTGCCGTCGCCACCATCGCCGCAGCCGTGGAAGCACTCATTCAATGCGCTGTTTTCAAGCAAGAGGAGGGTCCCAAACACATCGGATCCACTCCATAATCGTTGAAGCATTTGGAATTGGAGTATGAAGTTTTGGTCAAATGGGTGGTTGTTGACTCTATTGGGAGTCGTGGCCATGTGGGACTTCTGCTTTGCTCGTGAATTCGCTCTCAGCTTTTCCCGGCTGCAACCTTTATGGGGAAATGTGTCCCTCTCCATTGTTTTCCTTTTCAAAATCTTTTTTTGTAAAGTTTAATTTTAGCATAACTCTTACCAACAAAAATATCATCTCTTCTCTTCTCTGCTACTTTTCAACTTCTCCAAAATCTGTGTGGCCATAGTTTTCCTCTCATCTAACCCTTATCTTTAATCTTTCATAGTATTTTGAATGTTAAAAATCATGTTAATGTAATCGTGATGATCACACGCATCCACAAGTTTGTTAAGGTTTGTGCTTTCATTTTTTAATATGTAAATTGTTGTAAAGAACAAGGAAATATACAAGTTAAACTATATATAAATAAGGCTATGTGGCTGATATAGTTTTCTACTCATTTCTCTTTTAACTCATTTATTATAATTGCTTTTTGAACTTTCATCGTATACTTATTTAAAAGGTTTTTATTTTATAATGTTAAAGCCAGTCTAAATACTAAAATATGACTAATTGACTTGAAACTGAAGAAGATGAACCACCACTGTTGCCATATTTTTACTCATGCAACTTCAATTTTAACCTTATAGTCACAGTCATATATATTGCTTCCACTATGCCCCCTGGACTCGTGAGGTAAAATAAATTTGGGATATTTAAATAGAATACAACTTTGTATGGTAAATTCAAAGAATCATAAACTATTTAACATTATTTATACCATATATGATAGAATGTCGAGGTTGCTCAACTCTTTAAAATAAATATTAAAAAAGGGAAAAAAGAAATTTTTATAAACAGGGTATTTTATGTTATTATAAAATAGCTAGTGAATCAACTTAGAGAGTATGTATTATTAAGTTATTCATTGTGTTTTTTCACTTGACATTTTTATATGATGAAACTCATATGTTTAAACGATGGATACATCAATTATAAAGAATAAACATGGTTAATTTATGCTATATTTTAAAAAGAATTATAATGGTTTGTTGATGCATAAATTTGACTATGTAGAAATGATAAAATTTGCACCACTTTCTTATTGATTAACAGAGTTCAATTGAACCTGAAAAAAAAAAAGAAAATTGGCGTGGTGGTGGCCCAACATAATGCTTAAGTTAGATTTGAGTTCGTGTTAAACCTAACAAGGATTAGTACTTTGCTTTAAAGCGGAAAACTTAAAATCTCCCTGATATATTCTTTTTTTGAATCTGGACTCAAATTCGTTAAAAAAAAAACCAAGCGAATAGGACTAGCCCAGTAAACTCATCTCACGGAATGAGGTCCATGAGACTCGACTTCATGGATTAGGTCTTCTTGGTATATGTTTACAGATTTAGGGTATGTTTGTGACTGATCATAGAATCAGTCATTTTGCAAAAAGAAATTTAAATATAATTGATTTTCCAAAATCACTATCTAAAGATGTGTTTGGGAGTGATTTTGGTTTTTGCCTGTTATGCGAAAGTAGAAAAATAAAATTAAATGAGATGTTCTCGTTTAGGAGTATTGTATTAAATTGATTTTTTGACGGTGACTTTCTAGTAAATTTTCTCTAGCTTTTTTTCTTTTTCTTTTTTTCTATCTTTCGTTTTAGGTTCTAAATTATATGTTAGGGGCCATTTAGGGGTTTTAGGGTCTAGGATTTTAATTTTAAGATTTAGGATTAGAATATAGAGTATAGTGATTTATATTAGGGCTTAGGGTTTTAATTAATTAAGGTTTAGGGTTTTTAATTTTAAGATTTAGAGTTAGGATCTACGGTTGAGTGATGTGTATTAGGGCTTAGGGTTTTAATTTTAGGATTTAGAGTTTTAATTTTTGTTTAGGGTATTAGGATTTAGGGTTTTAATTAGGGTTTAAAAACCTTTTTTTTAGTACAATATGTAGAGTGAGGAATCGAATTCTAGTTGAAGATATATGTCAATTATCATTAATGATAATTATGGTTTAGAGTTGTAATTTTAGGATTTGGATTTAATGATTTGTATTAGGGTTTAGGRTTTTAATGGTTAGGGCTAAGGGTTTAGGTATTTTTTTTTTGTCAATTAACAACCTAGAAGATAAACCATATTTATGGCGTAAAAAAAAARGAAGATAAAAATCAATACAATAATATTTAAATTTCAAACACGCAATATTTAAATATTTATATTTTGCTTTTCCAAACCAACTCCTTTTTATTTTTTTTTTCCAGATCAATCTAATTTTAGTTTTACATAACTTGGATTTAGAAGTTTATAAATTTCAATGGTTTTTTATTAGTATATGTGGAATGGGTGAGGTTCCAACTCACAATCTGGAGATACGTGTTATTATTGTTGACCTACGTTCGCTTTGGCTATTAATTTTTATGATTATATTGTTTTAATTTCAATAATTTTCTTTACTAATGATTTTGTTTCATATAGTTTTTTAATTACATATTCTAATTTATGAATCAACACAATAATTATAATGAGCACATGTTCTAAACTAAAAATAAAACAGATTTGATAAATAAAATTGTGATTCCTTACCATTAGTCAAATAAACTTTTAACACACATTTAAAGAGGCAAAAAATTGTTAATATTCTAATGAATATTTTGAAACTAAGATATAATATAATATCTTTCAAAATTCTTSGAAATCTTTAAAATTAATTATTTCTTTTGTGAATTTATTACTGAGAATTTTTTTTAGTAGAACATGTGGGGGTACGGGATTGAATTCACAACCTCATGGTTGGAGGTATATGCCAATTAAAACTTAAAATATTTAAAAATATACCTGTTGACGGTGATTTTTGGCAGAGGGCCACGTGGTGTCAGGATGAGCAGTCCGACCTGAGATCTACTAGACTTGAAACCAAAGAACTCGATGCCGGTGTGGTGTCCGCCTAATACATTCCGACGATCAAGTTTGTAATAGGAATATTTGTAGGAAAAGACACCTCAAGTAATAGTGACATGTTTTTCACTCTGGTGAGGATCATGGTCATTCATTTTATAGCCTCGGTGGGCCGATCAGGAAGGACGACGGTTAGAGGTGGTAGGGTGTCACACACTGTACCACCGGACAGAGGGGAACGTGGTTCCGACAGCAGTAGGGTGGCGAACCTTTTGGGTATGTCGCCTAGGGCCGCAGGATGTGCTATCGTACCAACACAGCATGCGTTGCTAGCTGCGGYCGCGTATGTGGCGTAATCGTTTATAGTCCTTTGTCCCTCTCCAAGCGGACGTGTTTCCTGTTCGATAACGTCCTCTCTGAGAAGGTGGTTCTCAGTGGACCCACGCTTGAGAAGGGGCGGATGCGTGTCCTGTTCAGACGCTATCCATAACAATACCAAATTAAATATAATATTTCAAATATATATAATAAAATATTTATCTCCTATAGTGTGAATTTATTTAAAAGAAAAACAACACAAGAACAAAAAACCTAAATACACATCTACTTTCGAACTTTGATTACTAAAGTAAAAGTATGCAAACATGCTTCAATAAAATCCATGATATAAGATCTTTTCATATCTAAAAAATCAACGGTAATATTTTAAATATATAATAAAATATTGAAAGTTACATGTGTTTGTTGATAAAATCTCGAATAATATTTTCAAGTTTTCAATAATTCTTTTAATTTTAAACTATTTTTTAAATAAAAAAATTAATAATAAAGATGAAAATAAATAAAAAATATTTAACAATTACTTAGAGAAATTTGAATATCGCATAAACTCGATCACCAAAATAAAGAAGAAAAATAATGTTTGACAATGAGATGAGATGAGAAGGTAAGAGGAATAGGAAGCTAAACAAAGGGGAGAGAGAAGGAAGGAAATGACATAAGATAAAGGAAGGGAAGAATGTAAGGGGAGAAGAAATTAAGTGGGATTTTGATGGGAGAGTTGAACGAGCGAGGAGAGTGGGAGAGTTTAATGGGAATGGTTAGAAATGAATGAGGGATTTAATAGAAACAAAAAAGATACCCGTTTTTTTTTTTCATTTATTTCAAAATTACTCACAGTTTCAAAAAGTCTCCCTTTCTAAAATATCCGTCCAATTGGAAATCACATCACATTCGATTTTCATCTATAAAACCATGAGAAAAAGTCCAAATAATTGTACCATCCATGGAAGAGATATTACAGTTCTCTCGTTTCCTCGTCCCTCTCGCACTTCTATTTGCTCTTATTCATGTCTTCAACTTCAAATTCAAAAAAGTTAGCTCAAAAAATCTACCACCGGSGCCACCTTCCCTTCCTGTAATCGGCCACCTCCATCTCCTAAGAGAGCCATTCCACCAAATGTTGCAAAATCTCTCTCAAAGATACGGTCCAATCCTATCGCTCTCGCTCGGTTTCCGCTCGGTGGTGGTCGTATCCTCCCCCATCGCTGCCCAAGAGTGCTTTACAAAAAATGACATCGTTTTTGCCAACCGCCCTCGAATGATTTCGGGCAAGATCCTAAACTACAACTACACAACCGTAGGGGCTACCGCCTATGGTCAACATTGGCGCATTATGCGGCGCATTGCCACAACGGAGCTACTCTCCACTCATCGACTCATCTCCTTCATTAACCTCCGACAGGAGGAGGTCAAATTATGGCTAAAAAATTTGTATCGAATCACTGGCCAAAATAATGTGCGAGTGGAGATAAGGTCTAGACTGACGGAACTGTCGTTCAACATTGTTTTGAGGATGATGACTGGGAAGCGATATTTCGGGGTTGAAGTGAAAGATTCCGAGGAGGAGAGGGAGTTGAAGAAAGTGATGAAGGAAGTTTCTCTACTAAGTGGGATGTCGTATCCAGCTGATTTTTTGTCGGTCTTAAGACTGATTGATTATCAAGGATTTAGAAAGAGGTTGTGGAAAGTTTGGGCGGGTGCCGATGGTTTTGTACAARGTTTGATCGATGGTCGTCGTGAAATGAAAGCTTCGTGTTCTTTTTCACTAGAGGAAAATTGGAAGAATATGATTGATACTATGTTGTCGTTGCAAGACTCCGACCCTGATTATTATAAAGATCATATTATCAAGGGTCAAATTTTGGTAAGCATGCAAAATCATAAATCCTAATTCTACAAGCCCTTTGTTTTAATTTGTTTAATAAATAAAGAAAAATATTTATGTCCTCACTAGTCACCATCTATTTTATTCCGACTAAAATGAAAAAAAAAAGCTATTAATCTGTAAAAAAATTTGTTTAATGGTTGTAGACCCTGTTGGTTGCTGGAACTGACACGACTGCRGGAACAATAGAGTGGGGGATGTCGCTGCTTCTTAACCATCCAACAATAATGAAGAAGGCTTGGAGTGAGATAAATGATTATGTAGGTGAGCAACGTTTGGTGGAGGAAGCTGATCTTGCCAACCTACCATATCTTCAGGCCATAATCAACGAGACATATCGACTATTTCCGGCGCTTCCAATATTGGTGCCACGCGAATCGTCTGAAGACTGCACAATTGGAGGGTACGATGTTCCAAAAGGAACGATGTTGGTAGTGAATATGTGGGCCATCCATCGGGACCCCCAAGTGTGGCAGGATCCCACCCGTTTTCAACCAGAGAGGTTTGAAAATGGGGAGGTCGTGGAAGTGAATAAGTTGCTGCCATTTGGAATGGGGAGGAGGGCATGTCCGGGGGCTGGCCTTGCCCATAGGGTCGTGGGATTGACATTGGCCACTCTCATTCAGTGCTTTGAGTGGGACAGAATCGACCCAAACGAAATTGACTTATMTCAAGGAAATGGACTCACCATGCCCAAAGCCCACCCTTTGGAGGCAATGTGCAAACCTCGTGGTCCCATGATTAGTTTACTCTCTCATCTTTAACTTGGTCGCTATAACTAAATAGTTAYGTGTGTTATATACTTATATTATATATTCATAATCTGTTTCTGTATAGTTATTTTATATCTAAGGATCAAAGTTTCAAATTTACAACCTATTTGAGGAAATATTTAGATATAATTAACTTGTTAGGTTCAATTTGCCTAAGATGGCTCATACGTTGCATCTAAGTTTATAGCTATGAAACCCTTATAAATTATGTGGAAATGAAGTTTGCTAAATGTTACTTATATTTTGATTTAAACATTAGTTTTTTAAATTTAAATTAAATCTTTTGATAGTATTTTATATTAAATATGTTTATATTAAAATATAAAAAACAACAATAATTGTGTTAGTAAAATTACCTACCAAGAATATATTTTTTTTCTTCTATAGTTCTTCACTCAAAACTAAGTTAAGCACACGATAAAAGAAATATAGGGAAACTGCAATAAACGACACAAAGATTTATATTGGTTCACCCAACTGTGGGCTACTTCCGAGATAACGGGTTTTACTATGTATTGGAATAATACAATGGGCAAATACAATAATCTATCAAATCTATATGCCTCAACAAAAGTCACCTACCTTCTAGAAACTACAACAATGGAATTTTAGGAAACGGGAACTAAAAACCTCACCAAATATCTATGAGAATAAGTTGTCGACGATACTCTACAACTTTAGAATCTCACCTTTGAAACTCTGCCAAATACTACTGCGGCTGCCCAGTGAAAATTCGTGCACCTACGTTCAGTTGCCACTTTGACGTGAAACAACACATAAACAAAAGGATTTGCTCCATTATCTCAACAAATATATTATTGAATATTTATTTATTTTTACATTTACCACTTTGACGTGCACCTATGTTCAACTTTGATATCAATACTTAATAATAACATGCCTTTGAAATATATTGTGAAAAATTATATTGGATTCTTGATGAGATATGAGTTGGCATTCGACCCAAGCTGGAAATTGGTCAATCGAAGTGATGACCTATAAATAGAATTTTGCACCGGTATGGTGTTCAATTACATACACCTTAAAGGAAAGTACATAGTTAGATATGATTTCGAGTTGAACTCAGGTATGAAATTGCATACCTTAGAATGGATTCTATTGTAGGAGAAGTTTGAGAAGTGTTATTCTTACTACCGGTGGATTTTACCTTAATGAAATTCTTTCACTGAATTAATCAGAATGATGTATATATGATCTTCCTAGTTGGTGTAGCACATCTGGTCTTCATGAGATAACAAATTACACACAAGAAACACAAATATAATAATGGGATAAAATATAAAGAATTGATTGTTGTGTAATTAAACTATATTATTTGCTATTGTTTAATTAAGAAATTATTATTTGCTAATCACAAAATTAACATATCCAAATGTGGAGGGCTCGACATCTGGAAGGGGGGAAGTCCTTTTTTCTCCTGAGGACATATGAATTGTCGACAACATATCTTTAGAAAAATTATACTAATTGGGCCGAAATATTAAACTCATTTGCACAGTTGAAAATTAAACCCATGGAAGATGAAGGCTTGTAAAAAGGTGGAGGGTTGTTCCTTTCATAATAATAAGTTAAGAATGTAAATCTTGAATCTAATGTGGGACTAACAAACCATTTTCATTCGTACTCAAAAAAAAAAAATATATATTTATTTAAATTAAATTAAATTATTTATAGGTTAATGAGATGTCATATCAATAATAATTTATTTATATATATTAAAATTTATTATTACCATGTATATTTTTTTAAAATCAATTCAAACATAATATCGAACTATAAATATTTGGAAGGATAAACACTGTAATGTTCATTAAATCATTTCAATTAATAGCAACTTTTCAAATTTGTTTGTATGGTCATTGAAGGGGCCAATTGGGAGAGCAGACAAAAAAGGTATGCTGATAAGATTGTGAAATGCACTTTTCATTTATTTTGTATATTTATCATAAAATTGCCAACCAAATTGAATTGTAAATCTAGTGCAACTGTGAAACAATCCTCTAACTAATTACTTCTAAGTGAAGAAAAATTATTGAATAGATACCTTTTAATAATTGGTGGATGCAGAAGTGAAAAATCTACCTGCCCTGCAAAAACCACACGATATATACATTAATCAAAGTATATATCAAGAGGGACAAAAACAACAATCCCAAAAGAATTAAATGAATTACATATTCTCGAAAGCTTTTTCCATTAATTAGTTTAGCTAAACCATCATGATTAGTTTGTATATATATATTTTTAGAATAGTTTTCCATAAAGATATATAAATTTTTTTATTTATATATTGTTGAATTTAAATTAGATCTGTTGATAGTATTTTATAATAAATATGCTTATATTAAATTTAAAATAAATAATAATTGTTGACAGCGAATTTTGGGAGAGGTGTCCACGTGTCCTTCGGACCAGTAGCTTCGTCAAGGATGAAATGAACCTGCAACCCAAAAACTCGATACCGGTRCGGTGTACCGCCTTTTAAATTCTATACATTTATTAGATTGATAATTAAAATAAAATCAATTTTAGGTTTTTTCTTTTTTCATTCTAACCTTTTAAATCCTATACATTTATTAGTATTAATATTATTTATAATAAAGTTCGTAAATTAGTAAATTTAGTAAGGGATAAAAAGATCCAAAAATGTTTTTCCTACGATACAATGTACATGTCTTGATATATAATTGTCATGAGCAAAAGCCTTAAATTATCTAGGACATAAATAAAAAGAAATCAATCTGACATAAAAACGATAGAACATCTTATTATTGGATAGAGGAATTAGAACGCTGCTACCAATATTTATTTTTAGTTGCCACCAAGCCAATTCAAGTTTAATTTAGTGGATATAATATATTAATTATCTTCATTGAGGTGGACCATTCCTACTCTAAAATTTGTTCAATTTCAGAAACAGACCGTTGGACCAGAAGAGGAAACTTGAATTAATGAATTTATATTGTATTGAATATACGTAGTATTATAATCTCTAATGTACGATCCTCTCTAATTAATTTTTCTTAAATGTAAACTTTAATTTAAGAGCTTGTGAGCTTATTTTCGAATCAATGAGGTTGATGCCTTCAACTTCTTACTTGTCGAAGGATTTTTAAAGTCTTCGACTTTGAGCTTGTTGAAGACTTCCATTTGTTGATGAAGTTCTTTGACTTGTAGCTTGATGAAGACTTTGTAAAGTCTTCGACTTTGAACTTATTGAAGAATTTTTGAAGTTTTCGGGTTTGCACTCGTGAAGTTTTTCGATTTTGCGCTTGTGAAGTTCTTCAGCTTGCTTGACGAAATTTGCAACTTGATGAAGTTCTTCGATTTGTAGCTTGTTGAAGTTCTTCGGCTTGTAGCTTGTGGATGACTCTGAACGCTCTAGTAGCTCTCAATCTCCAATTCTTCTGGATCTTTCTGAATGTTTCTCCTTCGTGACCTTTCTATTTATAGGATTTTGGTGGGTCTTATATGAGATATGAGTTGGGCCCAATCTGTTTATGAATTTAGTCTAATTAATTGAATTCATCGAACATCTATAATAGAGACACGTGTTATAATTTGATTGGTCGATTTAAAATTAATTTAAGACATGTGTAAATTTATAATTGATGATAAATATAATTTTAAATTTGTGACGTGATATTTAATAATCAGTCAAAATTTTCTCCTTCAAGACAACCTTATCACTAAATATTACAAGTCAGAAAGTAAGAATTAAAGAGGACTGAAAATAAAAAAAAAGTAAGAAAATAAAATTGTTAAAAGCGAGATATTCACGTTTAGAAGTATGGTGTTAAATTGATTTTGTCGGCGACTTCGTAGTAAATTTTCTTTAGTTTTTGTTTTCTTTTAAGTTCTAAATATAAATTACATGTTATGGGCCATTTATTTATGTTTGTGGCCCAACATTAGCCTTTTCCGTACATGGGTTGTGTTGCTATATGGGCTTTTGCTTGCAAAGCCTATTAGCTGACGTATTTCCGCATCATGCCCACSGGCAAAATTATCCGTTCTCACTGGAGTGTTTTTTATTAATAATGTTAATAATAAAAATTATTTTAAAAATATTGTATTTTAATTAAAAATGTTTAAAATATGGTATGTTTTGAAACTTTTTTAAAAAATATAATAGTTTTAAAAAAGTGAAGGGTGGTCAGAGACGACCATTTAGACGACCAACTTTCAGTTTTTTAAAACTACAATATTTTTAAAATAAGTTTCAAAATCTACAATATTTTTAATATTTTTAATTAAACAACCATATTTTTAAAATAAGTTTCATTTACAATAATATTAAAAAAAAAACCCTTCTCACTGCTCCTATTTATTTTGGGTCATGCTAGGAACATTTTCAAACAGCTCCTATTTATTTTGGGTCATGCTAGGAACATTTTCAAACAGCGAGGTAAGGAATACATGCCAATGCACCTAAAATTTTATAGTAATACTAATCACATTGTAGTAATATCTTCAAATAATTTCTCTAGGTTGAAGACAGTAATTTTCCGTATTCATGTATAAAGATTAGGTACATGATTTGATCATTAGGGTGATCATGGTGAAGCATCGCCTTTTCCATTAATGAATTTTTAACCTAGTTAAACTAAGATGACTAGTTCACGACTTGATAATTAATATGTTTGTATCTTTTCAAATATGAGGCAAAAATACATGTCTACCACCATATGTCAGAATGAAAAGAAACTACTATATATACCTCCTGTAACTAGTAATTGGCGCAAATTAAATAAGACACTCCATACTGTTCTTTTCATTATGTTATTTTACTAAAACCTAAAACCAACAAAACTACTAAAAAGTAAGTCAACTTAGGTATAATGTAATGATTATGATAACATGAACATAGTTCAATAATTAAGACATCTACTCATTCATTTCTTTGAAATCAAAGATTCAAATTTACATAGTCACATTATTGTACTAAACCATGAATTAGGAAATCAAATTAACTAAATATAAATATAAATAAATAAATAAATACAAAAAAATAAATTTAAGCACAGCTCAACAATTAGCTTATGGAAAAATTTTTATAGTCACATTCCAATGGGGTAGCAATCRCCTGTAAAGTTGGTAGTCTCATGTCCATACATTTTTTTTTTGAGCGATATTTCCATACACTTGTGATGTACACATTTTTTTAAAAAACATTTATTATTATTA